TTTGTTTCGTTGAACGCCATGATATGGCTGTACCTCCACATGTAAATAAGTAGCTTGTCTGAGATCGAGCTTTATGTGGATCAGATAAATATCCCGCATCTGCATAACCAACTAATGTTGATTTGGATTCATTTGAATAGAATAAACCCATATCAATGGTCCCTCGCAAGTATCTGAATATATGCTTAATACCATTCCAGTGTCTTTGTGTTGGTGAAGAACTAAATCTTGCTAACAAGCTTACTGAGAAAGCTATATCTGGTCGAGAATTGTTGGCAAGATACATTAACGCCCAATTGCACTAAGATATGGTATTTCGGCACCAAGAAGCTCTTCATCATTTTCATGAGGTCGGAATGGATCTTTATTTATATCAAGTGATCTTACAACCATTGGGCTACTCAATGGATGTGCTTTATCCATATAGAATCGCTTTATGATATTTTCAATGTATGTTGATTGATGGACAAAAATTCCATCTTTCATATACTCGATTTGTAGACCAAGACAAAATCTCGCCTTTCCAAGACCTTTCATTTCAAATTCTTTCTTCAAACAGTCTACTGCTTTTGGAAGCTTCCCAGGAGTTCCAATGATATTCAAATCATCAACATACACAGCGGTTATAACAAATTCAAATCCGGACCTTTTATAAAGAGACAAGGACAAATTGGATCATTCTTGTACCCTTCTTTCAACAGGTACTCACTCAGGCGATTATACTACATGCGCCCTGATTGTTTCAATCCGTATAAGAATTTCTGAAGCTTTATTGAACAAGTTTCTCGAAAACTTTTATATGCTTCAGACACTTTAAATCCTTCAGGAATTTTCATAAAGATTTCATTGTCTAATGAGCCATACAAATAGGCTGTGACAACATCCATTAGACGCATATCAAGTTTTTCATGCACTGCCAGATTTATAAGATACATGAACGTGATAGCATCCACCACAGGAGAATATGTCTCCATATAATCAATGCCAGGTCTTTGCAAAAATCCTTGTGCCACAAGTCGTGCTTTATATCTAACGACTTCATTTTATTTCATTTCGTTTTCGCACAAAAATCCATTTGTACCCTACTGGCTTTATACCTTCAGGTGTTCAAACTATGGGTCCGAAGACATCGCGTTTTTCAAGTGAAGTTAACTCCGCCTGGATAGCGTCTTTCCATTTTGGCCAATCATTTCTCTGTCTACATTCATCGACATATTTTGATTCAAGATCCTCATCTTGTTGCATTATTTCAACAGCAACATTATAAGCAAAAATGTTATCGATAACAATATTATTTCGGTTCCATCTGTTTCCGTTGAGACGTAACTTATTGATATTTCTTCATTCTCATTATTTTCAGGTACCTGGACCTCCCCTAAGGTCTTATTATTTGTTACGTCTTGGGGCTCTTCTTGAGCCACTACCTCCGTGTTATGATCACTTTGATCATTTGCTCCTTTTCTTCTTCGAGGATTTTTATCTTTAGAACCGATTGGTCTACAACGTTTCAAGCGTGGCTTAGACTCATTTGCTTTAATTGATTGTCCTACCGGGATATCAACTTGAATAGGAGCATTAGCAGCTGGAATATGTGACTTAGTCACCCTTGGTAGGTCAGTGAATGCATCTGGCAATTGATTTGCAATATTTTGCAAATGAATAATCTTTTGAACCTCTTGTTCACATTGATTTGTTTGAGGATCTAAATGAGACAGTGATAATGCATTCCAATCTATCTCCTTTTTCAGCCGCTTATTTTTCCCCCTAATGTTGGGTATACTGATTCATCAAAATGGCAATCGGAAAATCTTGCCGTAAATAAATCTCCAATCAACGGCTCTAGATATTTTATAATAGAAGGAGATTCATATCCAACATATATCCTCAACCTTCTTTTGGGACGCATCTTTGTGTGTTGTGGTGGAGCAATTGGAACATATATCGCACAACCAAAGATTCTAAGATGGGAAATATTTGGCTCCTGACCAAAAGCCAATTGCAATGGGGAGACTTTATGATAACTTGTGGGCCTTATCCGCAAAAGTGCTGCTGCATGCAAAATAGCATAACTCCATACTGAAATGGGAAGTTTTGTTCTCATAAGCATTGGTCTAGCAATTAATTGGAGGAGTTTAATCAATGATTTCGCTAGACCGTTTTGTGTATGAACATGAGCAACCGAGACGAATTGTCTTAATTGCATAATCTGGAAACTGGGCTCTTAGCTTTATTATTTGAGCCAACAATCTCGCAAATGCCATATTGCGAGTTGATAGTAAGCACACATGTGACCATCTTGTAGATGCATCTACCAAAATCATATAATATCTGAATGGCCCACATGGAGGGTGAATGGGCCCACATATATCACCCTGTATACGTTCCAAAAATGTAGGGGATTCCATCCTAACTTTAATAGTTGATGGTCTAATAATTAATTTGCCTTGAGAACATGCAGCACAAGAGAATTCCTTAAATTGAAGAATATTCTGATTCTTCACTGAATGTCCATGTGAATTCTCAATTATTTTATGCAACATATTAGAACCAGGATGGCCAAACCGGTCATGCCAAATAATAAAATTATCTTGATTAGTAAACTTCTCGTTTACTACGGCATGTGTTTCAATCCTGCTAATACTTGTGTAGTATAAGCCGGAGGAAAGAGCAGGTAAAATTTCAAGCACATATTTCATACCAGATATTATTGTAATAATACAAAGATATTCAATTTTTTCATCATTTGTAGTCTCAATATGATAGCCATTTTGGTGAATATCTTTAAAACTTAATAAGTTTCTTTGAGATTTACTACAATATAGCGCTTCATCAATAGCCAAATTTGTTCCTCCTGGTAGTAATAATTGGCTCTTCTAGAACTTTCAATTAATCTTGTACTACCGGATATTGTATTAACATTGGCTTCTTTCATTACAAATAAGAGAAATATCTCTTATCTCTTAAAATATTGTGTGTTGTAGCACTATCCGGAAGCCATATATCATCTTTATTAATCTTGAGTCCAACAGAAGACTGGAAAATTTTCATATTCTTCATAAAAAAAATCAAAAAGTACATCATAAGAAATATGAAAGACAAACAGAAAAAGAACATCAAGAAATACATTAGGAATGTAGAAACTAGCAACACATGATGCATTAGGAAAATACACTCAAGAAAAATAAACTAGTTACAAACAAAAAAAAAATGACAACTTTTACAGCTTCATTCCCCAGTAAGATGATTAGTTCTTCAGTCAATATCCTCAAAGAAGTCTCCGACTTCTAAATGAGTAATATTTGCTAGGCCTCTAAAATCATCATCTTTATATGCAAGATGTGCCTCAGAATCATATTTGTTTGAGGGACCTGCTTCATCATCATTATTTTGAAAGGTCAAGTGTGCCTCCACATTATTTTCTTTCTTTCTGAGGGAGGCTCGATAAAGTTTGACAAAATGATCTGGCGTACGACAAATGTGTGCCCAATGACCTGTCATACCACATCGGTGACACATACTAATTTTACCTTTTGAAGGATTAATTTGAGAACCCTTATTGTTATCTAGTTTATTTCCACCATAATGACGATAATTGTTTCGTCCCCTGCCACGTCCACGTCTACGACCATGTCCACGACCACGGTAATTATTTTATTTTCTTTCAAACTTATCATATGTTGCTACATCGTTCACTTCCGGGAATGGAGCTGACCCAGTGGGACAGGCTTTATGATTTTTCATTAATAGATATTATTTTGCTCTGTCCCCTGCCACGTCCACGTCTACGACCATGTCCACGACCACGGTAATTATTTTATTTTCTTTCAAACTTATCATATGTTGCTACAGCGTTCACTTCCGGGAATGGAGTTGACCCAGTGGGACAGGCTTCATGATTTTACATTAATAGATATTATTCTGCTCTGCCACAAGTATGAATGTGATTAACTCAGAATATTTCTTAAAACCTTTTTCACGCTATTGTTGTTGTAGCACCACATTTGAAGTGTGAAAAGTAGAAAATATTTTTTCCAATAAGTTCTCATCTGTGATAGTGTCTCCACATAATTTTAATAGAGAACTTACTTTAAAGATAGTAGAATTATACTCACTACGATTTTAAAGTCTTGCAACCTTAAATGTATCAACTCATACCGAGCTTTCGGTAATATCGTAAGTTCTAGGTGGTCATATCGATCCTTCAAATTAATCCATAATTCAAGTGGATCTTTTACGGTTAAATATTAAGTTTTTAACCCTTCATGTAGATGATGACGAAGGAAAATCATTGCCTTCGCTTTATCCTGATTTGATGCTTCATTTCTTTGTATAATAGTATTTCCAAGACCTTCAGCGTCAAGGTGAATTTCAGCATCAAGGACATAACAAATAATTCTTCCCCGTGATATCAAGTGCCACAAATTCAAATTTTGACAAAGTCGACATAGTAAAAACTACAATAAAAAAAATTGTAAAAGTAAATATAAGGATAATCGTGAAATGGAAACAAATGGAATAATCTCAAAGCAGTGATACAATAACCCCATTACATAAGATTAACAGTACCATCAGATCATTAATCTTATATCTATAGTACTTGCTAATGACTATCAACCAGTTATTGTACATTGGAAAGAAATATATATGGCCATGCTAGTTCCTTTAATTATATGGAGCCACCTGTCCATTTCATCAAAACATGTAGGCAAACGTAGATATCCTATTGAGCAGATAGTTGCTTAAGGAAAATTGGAGTAGAGGTCACTTAATAAAATATGTATAACTCATCATAGTTGTAATTGTATTATGTACATGAGATAGCAGTTAGCATGGTTATATGAGAGTAAAGCACTTGTTAAAGTTTACATGCAAAATACGCACAGCAGCAGTATTTAGAATAACTTTAAAAGAAACATACTTGAACCGAGGAGGAAAATAAGCACAACTTAGAGATTACGTGCTGATAACGTGTTATAAAATAAAAGCAATTTAGTAAAATATAAATAAGAAACAAAAATAGAATGAGTATTTCACTTCCTTTTGGTGCGTCTTTACAATGCCATTTACATAGCCTTTTATAGGCATAAAAAGTAAAGACCACTATAGTAAAATAGTGTAAGGAAGGACATAAAGTGAAAATCCATCTACAAACTATTCATACATGGACTTCATCCACATACTATTTACAACAGATTTTACATTATTGATATATACACTGTCTTGTAAAACTTGTGCAACTCTTGTGGTCAAGATCTCCCCAGACTAAAGTCTTTTAGGGTCTCGTAGCTCCTAGTCCCTCTTTTTCTTGCGCTCACTCGGAAAGTGGCTTAGCACAGACACAAAATGAACTTTCAATATCAAATCATTAGCCTTCCTTAGGCCTGATTTCAATCCCTTCAACAGCTAAGCCACTTTTCCAGTTACCTTCCTTGATCTCTGTCAAGCTCATCTCCAGTTCAACTTCTTGCCCTCTCTGGACAAAGAATTCTCCCAACTCAACTTCTATCCATCCATCACTTCTCTGATGTGGATATAGTGCTTGTGCATCGTTTTCTGAAGGTGGATTCACTTCCCGTCTTAGGATATTCGCCATCTGGTTCAATAGTCCCAGCCGCCTAGGAACTATTTCGTACATATGCCTCCGTGCTGCCTCTGGATCCAGAAAAACTGTGTGAGATTTTCTTTCATGTCCCGAAATCCCTACTGCACCCTCTGCACTTTGGTGATCAAATCCATAGGTCCTGAATTTTGTTGTGAACACAAAGTACGCAGCATATTTGGTGCCAGGGGATAACATAGAGGTGTTTATCTTGCCGGCAATGTCAAACCAGCATACGTCAAGAAGCTCAGCCACCTCTGAGAACCTAGTTTCAAAAACATCACATTACATCAACTTGAGAATGACATCTTATAAAAACCAAGATTCTACTCTTCTTCGCTTTAGCATAAAAACTTTTATCCTTAGAACTAGACTGCAAATGAAAAAACAAGTACTAATCGTAAACTCAAATAAAGAAAAGGTAGAGGAAAAGGACTTCTCTTCTACCCCATAGTAAAAGTTACTTGTCAAATGAAATACCTGGACTCGGGAAGGGAGATCCATCTCCAATACATAGGTGTGTCAGCCCAAACAATTGCAAGTGACTTTGCAGCTAACATGTAACATTTCTTTCCACTGCGCTTCTCCAATGAGAAGCTCTACATTCCATCAATACCAAGTCAGAAGTAAGCTTAGCAAGCAAGAAAAAAAACTAAGCCCAGCAACTATTGCTCAAAGTAGAGAAAATAGGAAAAATGAGCTAATCACATGTGAACCTAAACACAAAAGCAATGATATGAAAAGTGTAGCAGAAAATACACGATGTGATCAAGGCGATATCAATATGTACTTAAAGACAATGGTGGATCCACACCTATCCACAAGTGGGCAATTGTAGTCCTGTTGCTTTTTTTTAATATTCTAATTTCCTTTGGTACCCAAAAGATAAAAGAGGGAAAAGGGGGTAACGGGAACGTGAAAAGGCTTTGATTTAATGTTAATACCATTCACAAAAGAATTTAAAAGAATATGGTTAGCAGGCACCACTATATAAGGTTCTAACACTGTATTCAACTTCCCATCTTCTGCATCAATGTTGATGTAGCCAATTGCAAACAGATTGTCTCTCACACACATGGACTTGACGAATACAGGAGCAATATCAGCTTTGAACGAGTTCAAATTACCAAGAACTAGCACATACTTAATGTCTAAATGATCGATGGATCACTTCAATCTTTGAAAGAGAAGATTCGAGGAATAATTTGAACCACTATCTTTTCTTCTGCATGTTTCACATCAATATAATTCCCATATTCTATACGTTTCTTTTGGTAATTACAGCCTGCCAGGTAGCTTTTATATCGTTGAAGTCGGTCTTTAACCTACTCTATTTGCTTGAGTGACCCAAGCAAAAAGAAAAAGTCACAGTTATCCACTTGTCAAGGAAATGACTGACTATTATATCTTCTACACTAGTTCAATCCATGTGAGTAAACATATGAGCAAAAAACTCTTATTGTTGTTCAAAAATAACATGTTGTAAAGTAAAAATTGCTTCACATTATATTTCATATCAAAACAAACCAAAATCAGTTCTCTCCTGACAAATTCCAAACAATTCTTTCAAAATCAAATCCAAACATTCAAAAGAAACAAACAACACTAAGCAAACTATCCAAGGGTGTGGCCTAGTGGTCAATGAAAGGGGTGAAAAACACTAGGCGAAGCAAAAGCAAAAAACCACTAGGTGATTTCGTCCCATCCGTGACCTTGGTGGATATAATTACCTGATGGGAGGTGGCAGAGGTGCACAGAAGCCGGCCTTGACACCATAGGCATCCAAAAAAACACAAACAAAATTATTTCTAGTCCTGACATTTGGTTTAGAATGTATTCTCTAACTATAACAAAATGAGTTTTATGTTCTATAATGTACAATTATTTTCACAATCAGATCACTTATTTATCTTAGTAAAAATAGGTAATTAAAATGCTATCACAGAATAATGTAAAAAGACCTTTACCATGTCAGTGTATATAACATAAATTCCAACAAGATATTATGAGTATATCCGCAATTATTGTTTTCAAAAACAAAACAGACCAAAACCAATTTTAGAACAAACTCAAAATTATTCCTCTCAAAACTAAATCCCCACACACACCAAAAAATAAACCACCTCACTCCACCAGACGCATAGTAGAATAATAATATCCAACTACAATAACAAGCCCTTTTTTGTGTGTATTTTCTCGATCGCTAATCGAATGCACTTCATTCCGGAATATTCCATACAAACAAATTCACATTTTTCGACTTCTCAAACAAGGAACAAAAAATTCGAGATTAAAAATATCATTTCCAACGAAATCAAAATAAAGAAAACATAGTAGATAACACTATCATGAACCAGAAAAAAAATCATCTATATCAAATAATCCATCATGTATGCGATAAATTACCTTAGTTCCACCCTCAATCAGAAAAGGATGATCACAGAGGTAAAGATAAAGCTCCTTCTTCGAATCGAACACAATAGAATCCGGTCCATCACTACACCGGGAAACAATATCACGATAATCCGGCGGCAGAAACCGGTCCCAAACGGCATCAGATTCAGCTGCGGACCGGAAAATTGAAGCCACAAGCGATAACCGACTCGCATCCCTCGGACACGTTAATGATAGAACGTTCGCTATGCAACCTTCCGGCAGGTGGTAGATATCAACGCCGTTGACGGCGGAGCTATTTCGGCTTTCCACCGCCATTGTGATGTACGGTAATGGGTAAGATTATGTAAACTGGCCAAAGCAGCTAATATGTGGTTGAAAATGACTTCAGTGTGCAAGCTGCTGCAGCTGCTATTGCTAGCTGGTGCGTAAAGCTATTTCTAAGTTGGTTGTAAGCTGCTATAACAGACTCTATCGGCATAATATTTATTCATAACGAGTATTAAATAAATATTTATAATATAATATTTATATTTATATTTATAGCATTCTCTTTTTTAAAAATTTAAAATTGCCGGAACAGTTTTACGTGTAGAAAAAGTGTATGTATTCTTTGTTCTTACCCGATTTCCTTGCTGATTTTTTTTAATGAGAAACTTATAAATCTCTGTGTAAATCAAACTTATTCTTTTTACAACTATCAAACTTATTGCATTATATCACTTGTTTGTCATAAGGGTGTCAAACGGGCGGGACGGAGCCGATATTAAAAGCCAAAAATGGGTATACAAAAAATGGATAAATATCCTGATTCATATTTAATTCAAATAGAAAATGAATTAACTACGAATAATATGGATATTTATATTATTCGTGACTTTTTAAATATGATCACTTTTGGGAGAATTTCTGCTTCCTAGTCCCCCAAACTTGAGAAACTCCTAATTTGAGTCTTTAAAAATATAAAAATTAAAATTATTAGTTATCCATTGGTTATCAATTTTCTAAGTGAATAATATGATTTTTATTCATATTTGACCTGATTTAAAATTTTTCATTATTTAGCCCATTTTTAGTGATCGCAGGATAACTTTGCCGCCACTAGTTTGCTATATATTGTAGCACTTCAGGTTTTTATTCTTTTAACAAGTTGAGAAATTGTAATATGTAAAATATAGTTCCAAATTAATTATAAATCTGATTTATTAGTATCACCCTTTAGTTTTGCTCAGATACAGGTGACTATGATTTTGATATATACTAGAAACTGTGATTAAAAAAATTAATTAAGTAGTTGTGAAAATGGTGAGGAGAGGGAAAATACAAGATTTTAGCTTATTTTTTAGGTCTAACTAATCGGTCTATCACAAAAAATATGTAACGAACCGACCGGTCGTTTTGAGCTCCAGCGCTTCGTATTTTTATATTATAAAAATATCTTTATTTAAATAATTATTTTTATATTACGTGCATAGAATATATATTTTACAACCTTTATTTTCTTTCATTATGAATTGTGTATATATAAATTTTTGAATTTTTGTTGTTGATACTAAAACGTTTAAAAAAAATAAGAAGAAGATAAATATTTATAATTTAGAGGGTAAATAGGTATTTGGCAATCCAAATTTTAAAAAATCTAGTTGAGTAACCTTCTGAGTGCAATAGGCATAGTTCAGTTTACACACGAAAGAAAAGTGACTTTAGGAGATAATTTGGGATAGTTGAGTGACCATTTGAGTAATTGACTCGCCATTTTCACCACCAAACATGAGGTAAGTGGTTTATACTAGTTTTGAGTTAAATATATCGATTATGTATAGGTTTTAACATGAAAATTAGTAGAAAATTTGGTGTTTGAGGAAAAATCTAGAAAATTGGTATTCTTGGATTTTGACCACGATTTTGGACAAGAAATTGAGAGTAACTATATATTTGAGTTTGTGAGGTTATGGGTAAACTTTATGTTCGAAAAATTTCGGAATCCGAGCATGTGGGCCCGAGGGTGATTTTTATCGACTTTTCGATCAGGGTTAGAAATTGTTATTGTAACGACCCGAATGGTCGTTTTGAGCTTTTACACTTTGTTCGTCAGTTCCTGGGCATGACTTGCCTCGTGTGATGTATTACGGCTCATGTAAATCGCTGATTTTGGTTTTCAGGGTAATCGGAATGAATTTGGAAGAACAGCTCCCAGTTTAAAGCTTGAAATTCGAAAGGTTTGGCCAATATTTGACTTGCTTGTATATGATCTCGGATCAGAATTTTTATGATTTGGATAGCTCCGTTAGGTGATTTGGGACTTAGGAGCGTGATCAGAATGTGTTTGGAGGTCCGGTGTAGAATTAGGCTTGAATTGGCGAAAGTCAGTTTTTGGCGTTTTCTGGTTGATAGGTGAGATTTTGATATAGGGGTCGGAATGGAATTCCCGAAGTTGCAGTAGCTTCGTTATGTCATTTGAGATGTGTGTGCAAAATTTCAGGTCATTCAGACGTGGTTTGGTTGGGTTTTTGATCAAAAGCGAAATTCGGAAGATTTTAGAAAGTTTGGCTTGAATCCGACGTATTTTGGGTGATTTGATGTTGTTTGAGATGTTTTGATGATTAGAACAAGTTTGAATAAGGTATTAGAATATGTTTGTGCTTTTGGTTGAGGTCCCGGGGGCCTCGGGGTATTATTTCGGATGGTTAACATAGAAGTTTGGATTTTAGTTGCAGCTGTTGAATTGCTGCTTCTGGTATTTACGCACCTGCGGATTGGGGACCGCAGGTGCGGCGCCGCATGTGCGGTTGGTTAGTCGCAGAAGCGAAATAGGCCTGATGGGCAGAAATCGCAGAAGCGGTTAGAGGGGCCGCATCTGTGATGCCGCAAATGCGGGTATGTGGTCGCAGATGAGATTTTTGGCCAGTAAGGGATTTCCGCAGAAGCGGAGGAAGCATCACATATACGGTACCGCAGAAGCGGTAGAAGCACCGCAGATGCGGAAATGCCTAGGTCAGAATATATTAATTCCTCCTTCGCGATTTTTAGAGGGTTTCTTCATTTTGGACGGGAAAAGAGCTTTGAGGCGACTTTTGAAGAGAGGAAATCATTGTTCTTCATTGAGGTAAGTATTGTGGACCCTAAAACTCGATTATTTGTGATTTAGGAACAAAATATCAGTGTTTAATTCATGAAAATCAGTAGAAAAAGGTGGAGTTAGGGCTTGAGATTATGAGATCTTCTAGGGATAATTTGAGGGGTCAAACGAACTCCGATTTTCGAGTTCTTTATATGTACAGACTCGTGAGATGATGAAGAACATTTTGATATAAAGTTTGTCCAGTTCCGGGACGCAGGCCCGGGGTACGGGTTTTGACTGATTTCGGGCTTTGTGCTTAAATTCGATATTTTTCAATTGGAATTCATTCTTTTAGCATAATTTGATGATAAAAATCTGAACTTGGTAGATTTGGAGAACTCGGAAGTTGATTCGAGAGGCAAGTGTGTTGCAGAGTAGCTTTTCGGGCTGGTTCGAGGTGAGTAATGATTTTAAATGCTGTCCTGAGGGTATGAAACCCCGGAATTTCACAGCGTACGACTATGTTGAGGTACTTACACGCTAGATGACGAGTGTGGGGTAGAGCACCGTTGGGGATTGTGACTTAGTCCATCCCAAATGATTATTTTACTGCATATTTGATAGTTAATTGTTTAATATTATTATATTTTGGGCTAAATGCCATATGTGGGCTTCGTGCCAGCTGTTTGAACCCCTTAGGGGATTTTTTAAATGATATTTTCCTCACTGATTGATTTCATTCTGGTGCTCAATCATACTATGTTTTACTATTTTAAAGAATCAGCCGTATTATTCTGTTTTAAACACAATAAATGATATTTTCAAAGGTATTTGAGCTGAGCTTCATATTTTACTTTGGCCCAAGGGGCTTATGAGATTCTGACTGAGTAAGGCTGAGGGCCTGTATTGTGAGGATACTTTTGGGTCGGGCTGTACGCCGCAGCAGTGATACACTGATTATGATAATGAGGCCGAGGGCCTGAGATTTGTACGCCACGAGGTGGCTTGAGATATGATAATGAGGCCGAGGGCCTGAGATTTGTACGCCACGAGGTGGCTTGAGATTTGATATGAGGCCGAGAGCCTGTTTATGATGCCATGAGATGGCTTGATTATGCGCTTGGGCCGTAAGGGGCCCCTCCCGGAGTCTGTACACCCCAGCGAGCGCGGGTACCCATTGTGATATGAGATATAGCCCGAGGGGTTGGTATTGTTCTGTGATATTGCCCGAGGGGCTGATTCTATTGTTACTGTGCTCGAGGGGTAGATATTATGTGTTTACTTATTGGTTGTTTTTTTAAATTGTTTAACTGTTTAAGAGAGGTTTATGAGATTTCACTGTTTAATTTTGTATTCACTGATTTGTTATGCCTCTTGCAGCTTAATGTTGTGCCTTACGTGGCTTTATATTACTCAGTCTTCATTTATTTTTATTACTCATTGAGTTGGAAGTACTCACTTTACTCCCTGCACCTTGTGTGCAGATTCAGGTATTCCTGAACCCGATAGCGGGTATTGGTTGCTCAAAGGCAGAGTCATCAGAGTTTAGCAAGGTAGCTGCCCGACGTTCACAGCACTGCCTTTTTCTCCCTCTCAATTTCATTAGACTATATCTAGTACATTTTAGACTCTTGTTGTATTTGGACCTTAGTAGATTCTCATGACTAGTGACACCCCGATGTCGGGCTGTGTTGGGTTTGTTTTTCCGCAAATTATACTGTTAACTGCTTACATTTTGAGATTTTATCATGTTTACGACTTAATACTTATTATTTTACTGCTTAAGATTGGAATGGGAATGTGTCGGCTGGCTTTGTCTTCACGAGAGGTGCCATCACGACCGGTTCCGGGTTTTGGGTCGTGACAAGTTGGTATCAGAGCCTAGGTTACATAGGTCTCACGAGTCATGAGCAGGTTTAGTAGAGTCTCACGGATCGGTACGGAGACGTCTGTATTTATCCTCGAGAGGCTGCAGAACCTTTAGGAAAACTCCATATTTTTGAAATTCTTATCGTGCGTCCTTGATTCAGCTTGAAATATAACTCTTTGAACTCCTTCCACACATTCGTATGCGCGAACGAGCGCTCAGTATCAGACGTGCAACGATGGCTTGTGATTCCCTGATCGAGGGGCGAGATGTGATCTCTGTGTGTTGATGTTGGGCCAGTCTGGAAGACTTAAGGCCGGATTTTTACCTATAGCTTGAGCCCTGAGCTGTTGATTGCGTGAGCATGTGTTTCTGGATCTATATGTGCTGTTGTGTCTCTATTAAGGGAAGTAATGACTGGATAGTTACGTGATGAGTGTGATGTGATTGCGAGATGTATTTGTATGATTTGGAAGCGACAAGAAGGGTCGGCTGGAGGATAGAAGAACTATTAGGTGCTTGATTTCCATCTTGATT